CACCCTCAATGCATTTCCAAACAGAAGTAAACAAGGTTCATGACTGGTGCAATAACAACTACCTCAAACTCAACAAAACTAAAATAACTGCTCACTGATTTCTGGAGGAAGGCAGACTCAGTGAGCCACCTAGTCCTGGGTGGTGAAGAGATAGAGTTTTAGGTATCTGGGAACCATCATGGACAGCAAACCCTCTTTTAATGCCAACACTCAAACCATCAATAAAAAATACCAACCACGACTGTACCTCCTGCACAGACTGATACAACTGAATGTCAACACCTAGATACTCTCCAACTACTACACCAGCCATATAGAGAGTGTGCTGACTTTCTGTTTCCTGGCCTGGTACGGTGGGCATTCAGTGGCTAATATGGGTATCCTCAGGCGGACTGTGAACCTGGGGTCCAAGCTCTGCGTGCTGCAATGCAGGGGGGGCTTCAGAGCCACTATGATAAACAGGCAAGGGACAAGGCCAAGCGCATCATAGAGGACCCCACACACAATCTTGGCCAATGTTTTGAACTGCTGCCCTCCGGAAGGAGATTAAGGGTCCCACTGTTCAGTAAGAATAGGAGCATGGCAAGTTTAATTCCAACAGCCTGCTGAACAGTGGGACATAGGACAGATGCATGCCCAATACACGGTCAGACAGTAGAATATGTGAAAATGTAAATGTGTGACTTGTATACTAACTTTCCAGTTTTCCGTACTGCATGTAATATATTGTGTTTGTATGCTGACGTCATGAAATGAAAAATAAAGTATAATGTATCGTAAGGCTTACACACAGCCACTGATGACACCTCTGAGTGGACCCCCTCACTCCTCAGACACAAAAGTGTCTTTACCGTTCACATAAGAAAATAAGTTGCCGTTGATCATTAACATTCAGTTGTCTCAAACATTTCCGGGATAGGACAGGTACAGCGTACTTACCTGTACATGTTCCAGGCAGCCACAGGCAGGTTGAGTAGGAAGACAAACCAGTGCAGGGAGACAAGCATCAGCACTGTTGCCAGGACCTGGCCTACCAGCTCTGGTACAACCCACTGCAGATACACATTATGAAAAGTATATGAGCACAAGCATACAGGACACAAGAAATAAAAAGACAACTGGAGATAACGGGCCACAGATATGACGTATGAGTCAGGAAGCTGAAAGTTACTAACTACATATAGGGTAAATCCATTTGAATTCAAATCCTTTTTGATTTGAACGAAACCTTCCATACATAGGCCTATTTAGCCATTGTAGAAGTGCTCAGAAAGTGACATTCACGAGATAAAGGTGCTCAAAGTTGACCCATTTTGCGTACCCCAACATACCATACCACCCCACCATGTCGTCATCACTGGAAAAGATAAACGGTTGAGATGTATACAATTTAAAAGCTTACAAACAGGGTTGTCAAATTGTTTGATAATTTCTGGATTTATTTTTATAATGTCATTTTTTATGATTGAAATGACACCCACCCTGTTTTCAAGAGTATATGTATCTCAACCGATGGCAGGCACAACACAAAAACCTCAGATGATGCGAAATAGGATCTAAGCTACGACATATGAGAATATGAAAAAAATTGGAGTTCATATGTTTTTTGATAATTTACGTTAAAGGTTTAAAATTGTCAATTTGTATTCCAAAAATATTTTTCCAAGAAATAATAAAATAGTTAGACAACACTGTTTGTAAGCTTTTAAATGATATCAAACTCAACTATCTTTTCCAGTGAAGAAGACATGGATGTCTCATGGTATGGTGGGGTACGCAAAATTGGTAAACTCTGAGCACCTTTATCTCCTGAACCTTTTGGCAATGAGGTCCAAAAAGTCACTTTCTGACCACTTTTTCCATGGGCAAACATATATGGAAAGTTTTGTTTAAATCAAAAGGGATCCTGCCAAAAAGTGATTTGAACTCAAACGGATTTAGGGATGGATCGACATTTACAGAATGGTTACCTGGAGGAAAATGGGGGAGGGTCATGCTTTTTCAATTTCAGTCAAGGGGAGGGTTTAGTATTTTTTAAATCTAGTACAGGGGAGAGTCATGTAATTTGTAATTGATGAAATGTCAATATTTCTCTGTGTTTTAGAAGTAGTTGCTTATTAGGCTATGTATCAATGTGTGCCCGATGCCGCCCCTTATCTGTGATTCTCCACTGGGCACACAATATCAAGTGGGCCTATAGGCTATTTAGTGTGGTCTCAATCAAAATGATCCATAGCCTATAGGCTACGAAGTGCATGCTCGCACAGAGCAAAGTTATATTTCTAAAATAGCTGCTGGGATGGTGTAAATGAAACTAGGCTGCATTACACACTGCAATGGATATTCCAACCCTGAGCCCCAGTCTGCTCTGCTCTTGCTGATCAAAAACGTTTTCTTGTGTGCTGTCTAACCAATGGCTGTGCTGTGTAGCCCTACGGTGGCAGTTCAGGAGAGTCAAAGGCTTTTTTCCAAATGTTTTTTTTTATTAGGCCCAGTCCAAAGAAAATGCACCATCTTGCGCGTGGACTAGCCTATAGCCTATGTTCTGTTCAGTTTGAGAAGGAGAGCGTGAAGATGAAAGACCAGAGGTCAACTTTGATAGCTTGCTACTACTATAATTGATTTTATTAAAAACAATATATTTCTTGCCCATTATGTATTTATCAGAGTTATTGACCTCACAATATGCCAGATTCGAGTAACATACATTGTGGTGCTGAAAATTGCAGCTG